TATATATTTGTCGTCGTCCACCTAGTTTCTCAATCTACAGCTTGATATGAGGAAACAGCGAAAACAGCACATAGTCCCGAGGGACTCACTGGGGCGAATACTTTCTAAATCTACACGGTACGAAGCACGGGCAGACGTAATTCGCTTTTGACAGGGAACAATGCAAGCGAGCAAGGATGACGAAAAGGGTAAGCAGCACTACACGATTATCATTCGAGCCGTATTCGCTTGCTTACTCACTTTTACTATCGTTATCTCTGTCAGTCTAGTAGAAAAAAACGTACGCGCCGTCACGATGATTCTGCATGATCGCACGGGTGATAGGTAAATTCCTTGGATTTGGACGATTAGCGATTGCAGTGATTAACTTCTCCAAGGATAACGACGCCGCGCGGACGTAACGGACAGGACGTGTTTGTCTTGATTTACTTGCGGCGAGATCGGCTTCCAGAGGATTTCTAAAATCACTGATCGCGAATTTGTCTCCCGAGACTTCGCCTCCTACAAAGACGAATTCCGATTGGACAATATTGAAAGGAGAAATTCACCAGCGAGATATACGGGAAGGAATTATCGGGCAAGCAAAATAACGGATAACATCCTTTCTGCAGGCAATTGAAACAACAAAGTATTTCAATAACGCAGCGTGATTGAAAAAACACATTTACGCCACTGATAATTGAATACGCCAGTTATACTTCGTAATACAATGACAGAAGAGCTCGATATACGCTGTCCATTAGCAATGATAACGCGAAAAAGAAAATCGCTTTGCATTACATCTACGTATTCTAGGCTTAGTCGGAGTTTTACAAGAAACAAGCAAGATATACTCGAAGTCAACGACCCCGAATCTTCTCTTTTTCTCTTCCTGTTTTAATGAGAGCTACACACTCTGATCTAGAAAGAGGATGATAAGATAGAAAGTCTAGTTGAAACGCGATTGAAAGACTCCAGCAACGTTCTTTTCCTTCTGTTCTTTTTCTTTCTTTGATACGATCGATGTGTTCCGTTCGACACAACATATTTTGCACAAAACGTACTATTAGTGCGCACTCAACACTAAAGATCCCGATATCGTTTACCATTTACGGTCGAAGGCTTCTTGCTGACTCGCTTACTGCGCGCGAAACGGATACCAACAGCGCATCGGTGAATCGTTGCACGTTATACAAACAGTTACCGCAAACTTTACATTATATACAAGGAGCTTGATAAAAGTCGACAGACGGGTGATAAATGTCGATAGATAAATGATAAAATTCCATAGATGAATTTATCTTTCGTGATTAGCGATATAGATACGTCAAAAGGCGCTGACACTTGCAGCACCTTAAAGATCGTCTCATATCAGTTACAGCGCGGCTACGAAATACTACACGACACAGCGTGAGATTCGCACAGAGAATGATTGATACATTCGAGTCAGAATCCTCCCAGCTCGTCATTTTCTCTTGAGTCTTAAGAAGATCAGTTAACACTAACAAATTAGAATTGAAGAAATTGTCATTTTTACGTCACGATATATCACACATATATCATAGAAATTACACACAGTTATTGAAAACGGAGGAGAATCGCGCATTACTCATATATTTTAACTCGAATGTCCGCAAAAAACGGTTTTAAAGAGTCGTCCACAATACAGCCGTAGTTATGTTTTACAGTCGTAGCACTGGTCTGTGAATTGATCATGCATTTGTTTCCTGTGCGTAAATTTCGTGAAACAACGGAAAGTTTCACTGACGAGTTTAACAAAATTTTTCATTTTTCACAAGTTTACGCGAGGGAAATAGGTAAATGATTCACAGACTGCGCGTCTTTGAGACGTAACTACAAGCGCACTGTAAACGATTCTTTAGTCCTACGATTCCCAGACAAGCACCAATAGAAATACATAGCTTCGAAGAACACTCTTTTGAGTGAAAGCTCTCAGTCGTATGTCGACACTAACCCGGTCGATGCATGTTTGCGAGAAATGGGGCTCCCGGTTGCGATGCGATTATTAAAACCGGTGTAAAACCGGTCTGAGCGCACGTTGCGGCGCTCATCGATGTTGCCGTAGCGCGACGAAACTGAATGTAACAGCTGGTTATGGAAACTTGAGAGATTGGCGGTTGAGAGAGACAGCTGCATTTCTCCTTCCGCCTTGCCGCAACCGCGTTGGCCGTAAGAGAGGGGACACTCGCTATATTAAGTGAAACTCGCGGCAGACACTGCACAGCACGAGATTACTATACTTTGATTATTCATTATGTAACGCTACCAGCGTGATAGTAGACGTGATGCGTTTACGGGACGCCGTACGCTATTTTGCTATAGTCTTGAACTTTACTCGGTGAACCACGAGTTAACACATGCAGCAGACGATGCGGTTGCAATTAAAAGCACATATGCTGGTTATTTTTTTTTCTTTTTTTCTTTTTTTCTTTTTTCGGGATAAAGAAACAGGAGAAATGCAAATTTGTCTTGGAAGATAAAAGCCGCGAATCTTGGAGATATTTTTACATCATATTTGTATGTTCGTATCTCTATATATCTCGTATATCTGTATGAATTCGTATCTCAATGGTACTGTTGATAACGTTTAATATCTTCCTACTTATATTTATATTTATGGATTATTTTTTGCGATAACGTCACAGGATAATTGAATATATTTTTGATTGCTTTTAATGACAAGATATGCCTCGAACGTGACTGATAGCACTCATTGATATCTGTGACTTGAATAGCATATCGAAATGATCCTTACATATATATATATATATATATATATATATGTATACATGTACATATTGTTTCTTAGTTCACTATCTATTTATCTATTTTAAAAAATTTTAGACTGCAGAAGTTTTTAAAAACGCACTTGAACAAACGCTAAGAGAATAGATAAACGTACAAATTACAGGCACTTGGTAGATATGATAAGAGTTGTAAAAATAATGTCTGTGTACGTGCAACAAACGTCCGGTCTGCCTTCAACCAATATTAATGTATGTCACCGACCTTAATGCTGTCTACTTTGTAGATGATATATAAGCTGGTAAAGGAAAAACCACGTGTACTTCTGACATTGAATAAGACGCGATAGGTGATATTGCATTACTTGAATGCATTTACATTACTTATAGAAGCGCAGCAAATTAGTTAAATAAATAATCGAACATCAAGTATGTCGTAATTAAATTGATTTTCGTTTTGAAATTTTGCAATAGTTTCTCGACCAAGCTTCACTATCTTTCTCTTTCTCTCCCTCTCTCTCTCTCTTCAGACAAAAGCTACTAATGCTTACATACTAAAATAATACTTAACTCTTCAAATGCGAATATTTAATTAAGCTTTTAATATAGAATATACATATACATTTATTGAACATATATGTTGTACGTTAAAAGTTTAAAGATCCGTATTTAAAAATCAAAGTAATTAAAATGTCCAAAGTAAATACCAATATTATTAGAGTCCAGACATTGATACATGAAAAAAAGAAATATACCATGTACAATCAGTCGTCCCGAATTTTGCTATTGAATCTGGATAGTATAACCATATTTATGTATGGAACAACCATACTGTTCTTTCCGTATACTGAGAAAATTATATCTAATCGGAGTATCCAATGTAAAAGAAACAAACCGATATATCCGACCAAATTATATATCCAATACAAAAAGTAATCGGACATATCCAAACGGATATCCGACCCATAAATATCTATGTAACTACGACTGTTTGACTGACCCAAATATAACTTTATCGGGTGAACATAATCTTATCACGAATATGACTCTGTACTCTTCACAATTTTACGACTTCTAGCGTAGACGAGCTTTATATAATATTAAATTCAGTTTTAAGTACTTTTACTTATTAATAGTTTAATAATCTTCTCTTCAATATTCATTTCTTGTAACACATTACGTATCTCATCATTCATAGTGAGCCGATATATTGCACAAATGATATAAGTTTCAATGAAGATTGACATGTAGAGAGACAAAAGAAGTCTTCGAGCTATCAAAGACAGTTTTGACCAATGAACGTGTTATGCTAATAGATCGCATCGGTTATTGTTTATCATCGGATAATATACAATCGGATATTGCACGATTGTTTTCTTTTTATCCAATTACATGCAACATCCGATCTTACCGTTATTTCATTTCCGATGAAATCGTGTTCCACGTCCGATAAAAATAATTTACAACGGATATACAAAGGGCGACGAACTTCCCATCGGTAACCGCATTGTATCGGATAAAAGCATCTATCGCTTTCGATCGAATAGCAAAATTAACAATCGGATATATTACTTAATTGACTTATCCGACTGAAATTTTTCTCAGTGTATTTTTACCGGCCTTATTACGATCCTCCGCGGTTTACGCAAGGCGAAATGTTCGGCCCGAACATCAAATATCAGAAAATTTAGCTGTTGCGTTTCGATTGTTTCGTGCTCTCGCTTTTTCCTGCGGGCACACGATAGATCATCCATGGCTTGCCATCGCGTTGTTTCGAGCAACTCGTGAGCAAACCGTGGAAGAGCAAACCGTGGAAAGCAGCGAGTTCTGCGCGAGAGAACTCTCGATTTCTTTCTGCCACCACCTCCGCTTGCTCTTCTGCTTCTCCTTCGCGGCGACGCGACGCCGCCAGGGACCAAAGGGCAAACGCGGCGAGGGTGCAACGCCTGCGCGACGCTGTTTGTTGGGGTGTGCGTTCACGGGGGTGCCGACGATGAATGAGCCGGCGGCGTTCCTCAGTGCCGCGCGAGCGAAACTGCGAGCGAAGCTCTCTTTCACCGTCGCGACGCTGCCCTGCGTGCGAACGCGGCGCGCATCGGCGTCGGGACGCGCGAATTACCCCTTTCCGGAATTGCAACCCTGCCTTGCCGTTCGTCCTCCGTTCATTCATTCAGTCGCCGCACGGAGACCTTGAATGACGAATCCGAGTACGAAACTTTGAGAATCGTCGTTGTTGCATCGCGTTCCTTTACCTGGGATCTAAATCAAAATTGACGGCAGATTCGACGACCTGGGATCTATCAAAATTGGCGGTGTAATTTGCACTCGTGGATCGCGCGATTCGTACGGTCCCGTTGAAATCCTCGACTCGCAACTTCCCCGAATCGTTGCGCGATTTTCTTCAGGAAATTCGCCGCGGAAGTACAAATTAGCACCTGTCACATCGCGACATCGAACTGATGAGCTTGTCGGGTCGCTGAACGTTCATCGACGTAACGAACGCGTAATGAACTTTGCCACATCGTTCGAAATGATATCCGATATTCTGTTTTATGTGTGTCCAATAATTCGCGAAAACTGTGAAATCCTATATCTGATTTGCCTTTAATTTTATTTGATCCAGTAGTATGATGATTTTGAATCGATGAACACTAATTTCGCGATTCGATAGTCCAATTCGTAATTGATTCAAACGCTCTATTTGCCAATTATAAATTTATATCGTAATTATATTATTACTTGTGCGTGCGTGTGTGTGTGTGTGTGTGTGTGTGTGTGTGTGTGTGTGTGTGTGTGTGTGTATCAAATTGGCTCGTCTGCCTATTACATACGACGTACTTTGGTATTTCAACGCTGCTCGTTAATTTGACTGCCGGATCGAAACTTTCAGCCACAGACAGCAACGTTTTGATATTTGTCCGATTCTATTGACTTATTGACCTGCCGGGATCGTTCGGTCATTCGCAAAGTTTGCACACCCGACTTCTCGGCGCATACCTAATCACGCGGGAATGTTCCAGTTGACAAGCGAATATATATTCTTCGTTTCACCCGCGACATGGGGTCGTTGACGGATTGATAAGATCGTTTTCTATCCCGCTGGGAGCGCGTAACGAAGTCTCGCGAAGATCACGGGACTTTCATCACGTCGGCCGCGCGTACGTATCCGGACGTGTACGAATCGCTGTTCGGTGGCTACGATTTCGGTCGCTGGAACAACGCGATCAATCTTCTTCGCGCCGCCGAACGCTGACATTTTGACAGTGGGACATTTTTGACAATTCGACCGTGCCACCGAGCCGCCGGACGAATCGTCGCAAATAAGGAGCAAGTGCGATCGCCATTGATTTCGGTGTCAATAATATCCCATAGGCGTACGGGGGGAACTTCTCGAAGGAGAAGTGAGCCGAGGAGATGATCAGGGAGAAAATATCCCAACATCTGCCGGGGACGTCCTATCGCGAACGTTACGTTATTGATTGCTCTCTTTATCATAAAAACTATTCATAATTGAAATATTTTATACTTCGTCTGTATTAGATATATCACAAGCAAATTATTGTTGCTTATAGATCACTCACAGTTTCAATACATCACGTGTACGCGGTGTGAATGAATTTTCACGCCAGTTTCGTCCTTAAAAAAATGCTGAAAGATTTACATGAAGAACATTTGGATGAAGGAACAAGCACGCACGGGAAATTAAAAACTGAGATCTTTTACTCTTGTTTTCATGTGTGTGCGTGTTTAAAATTAAGATTTAAAATTAAAGTGTTCATGTGTCGAGTGCCGCATCTACGTTGGATTCACAGAGCAATGTTCGCGCAAGGCTCGCCGCAGTGAACGCATCGCTCGTTTCTGTCTTCTCGGCGTTCGCACTGCGGCAAAAAAGAAAAGAAAAAAAAACCAGTCGCCACGATCAATCGCGAGTGATCGCAAGATCAATCGCGTCGGGCGCAAAGTGCGCAGAGGAGACTCCCGATGGGAGCTCGCCGAGAGAGTAATCGCGTTCGAAGGACGCCGCAACGGTAGCGCAACGGATGCGCGATGTAATTTTGTAACACACCTCGACGTTAATCGCCCTCGCGCGTTATCTCCGCCGGGAAAGCCGGCGAGAGCTCGAGGTGTTGCCCGGATTTCCGCCGAGTAAGAGCGAGAGGAACCGCGACACGGCCGACGAATTGTCAAGCGATTCACGTCGCAATCTGCGCCACAATCGCGACTCACGTTACGCTGTAACGGCTCGTCTTTAACAACTCGTGATAACGACTTGGCGCGGGCGTTCATTTGTGCGGCGAACAATTAAATCTCGCTGCTGCTGCCGCTGCTGCAGCCTCGCGCGCGCGTTAATGAAACACGCGCCGGCCTTCGTGAATGAACTCGACGGATCTAGACGCGATAATAGGACGGTCGAAGAGAAACGAGAAGATTTTAATCTTGCGGAGCGGCGTGTTGCTCACACCATCCTCGCCGCCGCGCTATTCGTCGACGGAAGAAATTCATTAAGGCGATTCGGTCTACGCTGTCACCCCGGCACGTTCGCTGTTGGCGAAGCGTCATCGGACGGCGACGAATTAGCGAGTGTCGGTGGTGCAAAACGCGTGGAACGAGGTGGTAGCTGTCGTCGTCGGCTCCCCGCCGGTATATCCACGATCTCTCGAAATCTCCCCTGTCATGAGCGTGCTGATGTACGTGGTCCCAAACGAACAGCGGGAATCGCCGTGGGAAGCTGCGAGACGAAACGCCGTAATGGCACGTACGGAGGTTGATTTTGTCGGCCGGGACACCGCGAAGTGAGTAAAAAATTCATTATGGACCACAATGAGAGCCCAATGTTCGACATTCGCGACTATAATCGCGTAGAGAAATGATTACTATAAATTGTGATTAAGGAACTATTTCTTTTTTTAATTCTACTATAACTAACTAATGATAACAATCTTATGTGTATGCCACTGTTACCAATTTCGTGTTAGAACAACCAGAAAGTATAATTGGGAGCAAAAATAACTATAATTTTAGTTAGATCAATGTGTTTCTCTCAGTGCAATGTTCAATAGCAGATTAAACGTAAATTGAAATTTAAGCTCTATTCCAGCAATATGTTTGACGTATTTAAACAGAGTTTGAAGTTTAAACTACTATTGAAAAATTGGCCTTAAATTACTGGCAACGAGAAGGCGTGATATCAGTTGTTATCGTGTTAGTCTTCTAAATGGTTACAAGTTTAAGGCCAAAATAAAAAGAACAAAAAATCAGGCTGATATGAGTCCGATAAATTAAAAATTAAAGCACGCGCGGGAAATTAAAAACGTAGATTTTTTATTCTTGTTTTCATGTGTGTGTATGTTTAAAATTAAGGTTTAAAATTAAAATTTTCTGTGTTCATGCGTTTTACATTGCATTGTATAATGGTTCTGTTAGCCCTCCTCATTAAATTTCACATTTAACTAACTGCCTAAATTCTCCAGTTGATAACGTTGCAGATTTTATTCCAGGCAGAAATTCTTCGTATATAAATATAACGGAATAAAAGTCTCATTAAAATTTACGTCATTTAATTGAAATTTTATTATATAACTTCGATCTATGAAATAAACCAAACAATAATGCAGAGAGTGAGATAATAAAGGGAGGAATGCTCTTCCCTCACCAAGCTTTATAATCACGTACATGTGCGTGTACATTTAAATTAACGATATGATCGTTTAAATCCTAATGGTTAATAAAACGTAACGGTACATTCACGTATAAGACCGCGTTACATATCCTACTACAACACTGAATATTTTAATTAACGGCTGTAGAGTGTCGATTCGCCTAATTAGGCCCGTGATTTTATTTCGCCGAATTACATGCCGTATTATTCGGTGCCGAATTTAGAGTAAGTTACATCGGGACGGGAGGATGTTTTTAGATAGAATTTATGGTGATCGTTACGGGACCGTAGGGATCATAATTTTCGTACAGAATGGGATTATCAGAGATCCCGAAATTTGTAACGCCATTCGCAGGTTCTGCGGGAGGTTAAGGGGCGTAATTCGAGGACTGGGGAATAGGAATGCTTGAGACAGTCACATATATTTCAGTTTAATCTCACGGCATCAAAATAATTATCGTTACATCTACCCTCCCTCTCCTACTCTCCCCTACGGGCATCTTAGGATCCGCAGAAACATTACATCGCGCATTACCGCCACTCGTCGCGCTCGTAAATAAAAAGAATTTCCCGGGATATAACGTCGACTTGTGTGTGATATATCAAGGAGAGAATATATCAACGAGAGAAGATGACCCACATCGTTTGTTATTAATCAATATGCGTTATGTCTTTTTCGTATTTGTTCTAATTGAAAGTTTATATTAATTTCGAGTCGACGTTTCTTATCGAGAAATTCAAATAGAAACTATTATTTGTCGCAAGTTGTTTGGTATTTAATGTCAAATATTAATATCCGTGATTAGTCATTTCTCCTCTCCCTAGTAATAAGTTAGATCGAATTAAAGAAATCGATTCGTATGGGATTAAATAAAGAATAACACTCGTACATATTTTACGATTTTTCTGTTCGTACTTTAGAAATTTAATCTCCGAAAGTGCCTTGTTTTAAGCTGCTTACAATGCAAAAGCTATCGTTCTCGATGTTACTCCAGAAAATCTTCCTAGAGCTCTCTAGGCATGCCTGTCTGATTCAATGTTTGCTTATTTGTTAAAAATGATCTGTTAAAAGATCATGTATTTCTCTTTTACTCTTTTTCTTTTCTTGTTTTTATTAGAACCAGAATTTAATTCCGACGAGAAATAGAACCGAAAGATATGGTTATCCGATAGCACCGGCCAACTTTTACCTCTTTATCCTCCACTTTTTACGTGCGAGCTTTAGAACTTTCTCACGGGTCAATTCTGCGTACAACAGTGAAATATCTGGCAATTGAATACGGCAATAATTTATAGGTATAGTTGTTGGAAACTCTAAAGTTGGATTTCTAAATTAACATACGCGTTATATTTCTGCATATAAATAGATATAAATAATATATATCATAGATAATCATAATCTATAACAATCCATTTACTTTATTTGATATCGATTTAATTTTAGTTGCCAGATTTTCTCAATTACAATTATGTTATCTCTTGAATTAATTAGTTAATGAGAAAAATAAAACGATTCAAACGAGAATCATGTGTGTTGGCTAAAGCTTTATTCGACAATTTTCTTCATGTGTCAACACTTTTATTTGTTGACCTCGTTTCTTTTTTCAACTTCAGAGATTATATCGTGTGTAATAAACACAGCGGCAATTCCGTCATTGTTAATGTCAACGCAGAGTGTATCGAATTATTTTACGCAAGTTGTAGATAACTTTGGGCGTTTTGTATTACAACGAACTGACATATCCGTTAAAATGTCAAACACGACACGCCTTCTCCCTTCCCCATTACTTTTTGTAGACGCGAGACGATATCGCGGTGATTTACTTCTCGACGCGAGTGACAAGCGATATTTGTACATCATTGAGTTATCGAAAGGGAAAATAACAATGTCTGGCCAATTTTAGTTTACGACTGATAACGTATTTCGTACGATTGTGATCTTATCGTTGAATCCTTTACCTTGTTCACCGTCGTTCGACGCAAGTAAAATATGATCTCGCTCTTTCTCTCGTTAATTATTTGCGATATCAAACTCAAGCTAATAAGAAATAGGCAGGATTGGGTAAGTTAACTTTTTTTTTAACTAAGTTAAGTTAAAGTTAATGGCTTTAAAAATTTAACTTAGTTAGATAAAGTTAACCCATAATGAAATTAATTGAATTAAAAGTTAAGTTAATAAAAAAAATAATTAAAAAGTTAAAAGTTAAATTTGTGTCATTTCATGATTTCAGGGTTTTAGTTTTACAAATAACGGAAAAAAACAAATATACCTTATTTGGAAACATGTTTTATTTACAGATACTTATTAAATTTAAATAATAAAATTTTTTTAAAATTTTTATCGGATATTTTTCCTCGAAGATTGTCGAAAATGAGCCTTCCTACACTGAACAGCTTTTCGACGTCTCGCGACACCTTTATGGCATGGTTAACCTTTAGGCTGCCGGCATTTTTTCATTAAAAAAGTGTTTATTTTTCTGAAAAATTTGTCTATATAAGTAATATATACATAACACAGAATTTTGAGATTTGTGCAAAGCCACGAAAAAGATTTTTTCAGCAGTCTAAAGGTTAACTTCAAGATAATTGAATTAAAAATTAATAGTTATCGATAAAGTGTAACTAAGTTAAAAGTTAAGAGTGTAAAAATTAACTAAGTTAAGTTAAAGCTATTTAACTTTTTAACTTTTTAACTTAACTTTTAACTTTTTAACTAGTTACTACCCAACCCTGGAAATGTGGACATTTATGCACAATATGAATATTGGTAATTATAATGTCAAATATATCTTCGCAATATTATCGGTAATATTGTATTACCAATGTAATTATCGATATATGTATTATCGATGAACGTAAAATCAGAATCAAACATTGTATGCTTGGACTACAGCAGCACCATACAACGGTGCACCTGATGCTGCTTATGCGTAAGCCGCCAGCAGATTTACATATATACATATCTTCCGGCGTTGTCAAATTCATTTTGCGATCGTAAACAATTTCGAGTTGATTTTTTTCAATAAGTACATAGTTAGGCACACTGTATAAAAATTGAAAGTAATAAAAATAATTGTTAGAACAGACTCAGTACTCTCGTTTTAGCGTGAATTGCTACTTTTAATGCATTCGTATTTAATATGAGCACACACCTTAACTTACGTAGGAATTATCAATTTAAGGATTATTAAAGAAACGAGCGTCACGAGCATATCAGCAAAATTGCAGCGTAATTTTCTGCTCTGCCGTGCATGAAATGAAACGATGACAAATAAATTTTTAATGAATATCGCGTGACGCCCACGTTATTTTCTCCTTTTCATTATTCTTCTTTCTTCTTTCGCGTCGAGGCAGCTCGAGATTTTTGCTGCTTTAAATAAACACTTCAGGCTCTTATCCGCCGTGAGGGGAACGAAACCGTCGGGATCGGTTCTCACGCTACGCACACAACATCTCTACATTATTGAATGGAAAAAAATTCATATCCTTGAATAGCGGGACTAACCATTACACTGTTATCCAATGCGCGCGATCTGTCGGTGAAGGTTTCTCTTGTTCGATATACAAAGAAACTTTTGAGCATCTTCTGATCTTTTTAGAAAGCTTTCGCAAAGCGATAGAGAAACACGTTCGAAAGGCGTGGCTTTGCGTGAAATTTACTCCATTGATGTTGAGAAAAAAAGATTTCAATAGAGACACAATAAACCTTAAATTGTAGATTGTGTGATAATGGACACGACTAGACTCTTGGAGAAGACACTCGTTTCTCTCATATTAACATCAACAGGCTACTGAATTACATAACAGAGAAAGAGAGAAAGAGAGAGAGAGGGGAAGCCAAGGATATTATATCTCTAGAGAGTAATAATATCATACAAGGTGTTTCGGTAAAGTGAATCCCACTAACAAGGTTTTACTCTTAACGGAATTTGGGGCCGAATTGTCCGTGATGAAAATTTTATCCTAGAAGAAGATTCAAGGTTCTAAACATTTAAGTACCTGAGGATTTAGGGATTTCGCGGACCTAAAGACGTAAGCGCGCACAAGAAGTAAATATTCAAGAATCTAAAGATTCAGGGATAAAGGGATTCGCCGGAAAGAAATCCGGAAGATCTAAGCGTCCAATTATCAAAA